CAAAACAAAGGCTTCCGGTCTCCAAGCTAAAATGCAATTCCAACAAAAATCTTACCGTTCTATAGCTTTGAAATAGCCTAACCGAATTGTCTTCCGTTTTAAGTTTTTGTTTTTCTTTTTTTTTTTTAAACACAAAGATACTAAATTGAGGCCAGGCAAATTCTAGTAGTCTTTTTCAGATGACTTCCAAATCTCAATGGCACCTCCCACTTCTTCCTGCCTACTTTTTATGTGGCTCCCTAATTGTGAATGGTTCCCAGCTGCATTGCCTGTTATTATTAGTGCTGTGATGACTGCCATCATTAATTATCACATGCCGTTATCTTTCTTCTCAAAACTTTTCCCCTGAGCATTTAAAACAAATATTTGTGGACTGTGCTTTTGTTAGTATTGTTGCAGTTTGTTCTTCCATCATTACAAAAGGTAAGGTGTTTGTTTCATTGTTTCTTTCATTCCCCCAGGTAGCTGGAAGGGTTATAATCTAACAATCCTTATTTAATCCACAGGTTGGTTTGAAAAATGTAGGAAAAAGAAGAAATGAACCGTGGGGTAGACTTGGAAGTGAGAAGCATGAATTTGGCAGATGTGATGTTTTAAGCTGTTTAAGACACGGGAGGTAGTTTACAGAGTTCCTGAGACAAAAGTGAAAGAAATTAATTTGGCGATGGGAGGAATTTTCTTCTATTGAAGTAAGAGGGAAAGACAGCAGGGAGATGAGAGAAGTGCGTTTTTGGAACCACTTGATTTTGAACAGAGCAGGAAAATTATCTACTCTTTGCACCTCCCCCACCACCATATGCTTCCTTAAAGTTTCCTTTTTCTGTACTTGAAAGGCCCACAGAATTTAATAGTATTCATGCATTTGAAGTGCTAGGCTATTGCAAGCTTCCTCTGTTTTTGCATTTATCATGAGAAGTAGTGAAAAAAAATATCCAGGTTATACGATAAGGTAAAAATAAATAATGATTATTTAATGAAAAGAATGAAACTAAAAGGCAGTTTTTTAAAAAAGGCAGTTGACCTTAAATAAACTGAGATACAGGATCACAACCAGATTCAGGGACTAAATTATAGGTCAGTTTCCCTCAATTCACAGATGTCCTTACTTGCAATAATTTCCACCAAGACAAAGCCTGCTTCTCAACCTCTGCTTTCTACAGCCCTTCTACCAAACTGCTTTTTCTTTTCCACCCTTCTCTGGAGCATTATTTAAATTAGAATTTGTAAAGCCAAAGCCTTCCAGGGCACCATGGGACCCAGTCATGATCCTGAACTTGTGCTTCATTTAGGACCAGTCCTCTCCCCATTTCTGGAAGGAAGGCGGGGTGAAGAGGTAGGCTTTGGAGTGGGCAGACCCCTATTCCAATCCTGTCTTTACTGCTTACCGTTGTATGGTATGGGCATACCTTTGATGTCAGTTTCCTTATTCCGAAAATGTATCTTACGTATTAGTTGTTTTTTGTTTGGTCGGTTCGCGGATTAGAAATCATGTATGTAAAGTAACCGGTACGTGGCCGCGATTAATGAAGGGAATGCTTCTGGCAGCACTGACCGCAAGACCCAGAGTCAGCCATGCCGGTTTCCACCTTTCATCTTTGGTTCCAAGATTCCACTCTGCCCACAAAAGTGATGCTCAGACTGGAAATAACCACACTGGCTTCTGCTGTCCCTTCACTTTTGCAGCTTCCAGTCAATGGCAGCCACTGTCAGTTCCATTGTCTGAGGGCATATCGATAAAGCAGTAGGTAGAGATGAGGGACCGAGCGTGGGCAACCACCCCGTGGCAAATGCCTGAGCTGTGGTCCTGCGGCTCCTTTCCCCACACCCATTTTTAAGACATTCCCACTAGCAATCAAGGTTTCTGGGCCCACAGTACCCCCTGATGGCTGACATGGGGAACTTTCTTTTCCCAGCTATTCCTATCTTCTCTCTTAGTGAACTCCCCGGCCTTTTACAGGTCGCCGCTTTGTCCATTCCGTCATGGACCATTCATTACTCACGAACTTTGTGTAGCCTTTCCTGCCTCACTTCCCCCCCCCTTAAATTTCCTGTTCAATTATTTCAGGGATATCTATTTCCCTCCCTCTTTCTTTCTCTTTTTTCCATTTATGAATCCTCAAATTACTGCAGTTATGGTTGATAGGTATACTAGTAGGATGAGTGCATTTGTCTGTCTTTCAAGAAAAACCCTGTACATTTAGAAGTAAAATAAGACCTAGTGTAGAGCCGACAGCATTAATCTTTAAAGTTCTCTGAGACATCCAGATGTCTTCCTAATCTGCACGAAAGAGGCCATGATCTTTCTCTAAGTAATGCTAATCTTTTCTTGACATTACTTTTCTATGTATTTAATTGCCAATATTCTACTGGTTTGTCCCTGACTATTTCATTGCAAATATGATTCAGCTACAATAAGGGTTAAGTGCATTCCTGTGGGCTATTCTGGAAACCAAAACACAATCTTTCAGCATTAGTTCTCTATGAGAAAGTGAATTCAAAGCTCCAAACAACTGTTTCAGAATAAACTTTGGAAAATATTACCTAACTTAATATTGGAAATTTTGGGCTGAGAGTGGTAAATTTTTAAAAATTCATATCGATGTCTGAATTTTCTGATTTTTATCTATTGAACCATGACATCTACTGGGATTAGTATTTAGAAAGTTATTCAGATAACTCATCTGGGCAGACATTGATTCTTCTGTTATCAAAGAAAAAATATACTAATCAGATCTTGATTGATATGTTATCAGAATGTCATAGAAAGTTATTAAATTCATCGCTATGGCTATAGATTGCTTCTTAGTGAAAACACATCAAACATGTCTCAAAATATAAGTGCTCATTTTCCTTAATGTAAATTCAAATTATACTTTCAAATAATTCCTTAATGTAAATTCAAATAATTCTTTGTCAAGGTCTCAGTTTAAAATATTTAAAAAATACAAATGATTTGGGCATGAATTAAAATGGCATTAGTTTTATGCTTAAATGTTTAATTCTTTTGATTTAGGAAGCTTATTCTTAAACTAGAGGGCAATAATCAGAAGGAACCCCAGGTCCTGATCAAATAACTAAAATATTTCTGCCACAAATTAACATCAAAAGGCTTAATTTTTCAAGGTGCTAAATGCCTATATTTAAAAGTGAAATCTTATAAAAATTGGTATGAAATAACTGAATCATTTAATAAAATGATAAATAAGCTCTTGTGACCATATATAGATAGGCGTGAAAAATACAATTTTAAAGTGCTTTTTACTTTCCTAATTTGGTCATAATTCAAGGTAATGCTTTGCATAGGATTTTTTTTCCCTTTGGAATGATTTCCATAATTATAGAATTGAAATTATTTTCTCCTTTAACATAAAAGATACAAATTAGCTAAAGTAACAGGTAAATATCACCCAGCCAATTTCATCAAAATTCCATGAAATTGGATATTCTACATAAATTCTATCTGCATACTAATATAACAATAAAAAATCAAGAATGATGTCATAAAATAGTTGTGTAGTGCAAAAGGTATTTTAACTGATTGTTCATCGAAGACTGTTATTTGATCTGACATATCCACATTTTTCTGGAAAGAGATATTTGCTTTCTGATAATATATACCTTTTGAATTCATAAAGTTTTGGTGGTACAAATTAAAACATTCAGTGTTAATGTTTTTGAAAGCATTACGTTTAAATTATTTTCTCAGGACCCAAAGAGAAAACACCAGGGGAAACATAACCAGACTGAATTGTTTAAAACGTATTTTCCCTTTAATTAAATAAGAAACATCTGTCTAGGGATTTTGAAAATGAATGTAATCCATCCACACGCTGCCTGTACTAGTTTGCATTCAATGTCTAATATTTTGAAAGAAAATTTTTTCTTTCCGTAAAGAATTAAACGGCAACATGCAGCGATGTCTGGGTCTACAACAGCTAAGATTGCCTCCGGAGTTTGGGCACTGGAAAAGGATCTCTTTTTCCAGATCTGTCCTTGGGAAACAAACAAAGTCTCTCCATCTTCAAGGTTAGGGTGTAGCTTTTGTATTTCTCCAAAGTATCCACTCACCCTGAAAATGCTCATCTCAGAACAGTGAGGAAACAGAAGTTGCTAAGGATGCTTCCAAACACTCAAGGTCAAAATATTGTCCCTGCCCTAGGGTTCACGAAACATTTTCCTCGCCTTTACTAGGGATTGAAAAAGCTGATTTCTCTAGGGACCTGCACGACCCGCAACACAGACATCAGACAGGCGAAATGAGTACCGTACAAAGAAAGTGGGACGTGGACTCCAGGGTGGCTCTGGTTCCTTCACACCAGGGCTCACAGTTCGGAAGGACAAGTATCACTTACTGGTGGTGTCAAATGGTATCTGCTTGCACTGCGCAGACCCCTCCGCGGGCCAAGGACAGTAATAGACGGCTCCCCCTTCCACGATATCGGGCTGGCTGGTGTTGGCTTTGGGCGCCCCCACCAAGACACTCGCTCTGCGAAAGGGTTGGAGAGAGTCACTCCTTGGGAATCAGAAAAGTGCGTGCATGCAGGGCAGCCTCTCGGAGCACAACGCCCCCGGGGACTGGAGGAGGCGCAGAGGGCAGAGACGTATTTATGATGGGGACCGACTGTCAAACTTGATTTCCTCTTGGAAACCTACGGGCGCCAGAAACCTGGTTTAGAAGACGGTGCAAACGGTCCTAATTCCTCTCTAGGTGGAGCTATGTGTATACAGTGAGATGAGAGAGGAGGGGGGAAAAAGCCAAGGACAGAGCCCAGCTGCTTGTAGCCGACAGCACTTGCGCCCAGACACAATTGTTACGGGATATGTATAAACAGACCCTGTTGTGGTCTTTGCTTTAACCGGCTTGAGGCTGCTCGGTCCCGTTCTCTCCTTTGTATGATGTGCGAGTCTTTGTCCCGGGGACTCCCCAGGACTTGCGTGTTCTAGGCAAGTGGCATGTCTCTAGTTCAAAGCTCACAAGGCACTTCTAGCATGGAAGGGGAGAGAGGAGGCTGGTGGAGGGGGCGGGATCCCAGCCGGCGCGGTCCGCCAGGCTGCGAGACCTCCGCGGGGCCCGCGACAGAGCGCCTGGGACCGGACCCGTGTGCGGGTTCGCCCGCGCGCGCCACCTCCCCGGCGGGGCGACTTACGTGCGGGCGTCGGGAATGTGGAAGTCCACAGCGTAGCCGAAGTAGCTGCCCTCGGGGCCGCTGTACACCGTGAGCTTGTCCACGTCCAAGTTGAACGCCTGCGAGGCGGGGGACCACAGCATCATTCCCAGCGCGGCCGAGACGCACCAGACGGGCGCGAGCGGCTGTGCCCGGCTGCCCCGGGGACCGTGGCGGGCCCCGGCAGACATCGCCCTGCGCCCCGGCGGCTGCTCCCCCGAGAGCGGGAGCCGAGGACCCCGGCGGGGCGAATGGCGGGGGTGGAGCCCGGCGGTCCCCAGATGCCCGCGTCCCGGGTCGGTGCGCGTCGCGTGCCCGCGGTGACAGTCCCCCTCGCCTGCGCCCGCCCGCCCGCCCGCCCGGCCGGCTCGGGGGCTGGCCCAGGCGCGCTCGCCCTGCCCGGTGGCGGGCGGGGACCCGTGCGCTCGCGGCGCCTCCTAGAGGCGGGTGCGGAGCCGGCGACTCCCGGGCTGCGCTGGTCCCGCTGGTGGCCGGCGCCAAGGCGCCTGCTGGGGCTGCCCGGATCTCTACTGCAGTCGCATCTCAAGGGCGATCTAAGTCTCCCCTCTGTCACCTGAAGCCGTTACTTTAAGAAGCAATGACCCACGTGGAGCGAGGGTTTGCTCCAGTTTTCCCAAATGCGCGGCCTGGGTGGAAGAATGTGAAAGCGAACTCCGCCACCAGGTGGGGACAAAGCCGTTGTCTGTTCGCGTCCCCTCTGCAGCCTGACGACCCCTCGGGGTCCTTGCGTTTGTTCCTCTGTGATTGAGAGTCAAAGTTGAAATGCGACAATCCTCTCCGCCCTTGAAGCCACCCCACCTCCCAGCACAGCTGACTAATGAACAAAGAAAGCCTCCAGATTTTATTTAGGTCTTTCTCAAAGGCACCTTGGGCATAGTAACTGACTTGGTAGTCAATCTTCTGGCCCCTGTGTAACTGTGATGAAGACTGGCAAAGTCAGGAAAGTTGGAATTTATAGTTTACCCTCAGCAGGGGGAGACGGGCTAGGTTGGAATCTCCAGGAGTTCAAACTTCAGTTCTCATCCACAGGGATTATCGGTCTCTTTCCACGTCCCCTGTGTGGGGGAGGAAGGAGAAGAGAACAGTCGTCTAGATGCCCTCCCATGCCACGTGGCCGGTCTTCCGCTAGCACTCGACAAAACTGGGCAGCATTGAACTGGAGGGGGCTGGGGTTAGCTAGAAATGAAATTTAGACACAGAAGAGGTAAGCAGTTTCTGAAGCATTTTAAGCACATGTAGACTTAGGAATTTGAATAGGCGGCTTAGATTTGGGTGTTCTGGGAGGAGAAATTGAGGGGAAGTATTAAAGACACAAATTCTGGTATGAAATGGTTGTGCCAGGGTAGGAGTAAAAGGAGGGGGTTAGGGAGTGTTGAGAAATAGGGCCGAATGGATCTCCGGCGGCACAGGATCTAGGAACATTTACTGAGCAAAGACGGCCAGTTCTAGAGCAGAAACAGGACATACCCACAGGGGTTCAGAAAGTTTAGGGGCAAGGAGGTGTGTGTGTGTGTGTGTGTGTGTGTGTGTGTGTGTGTGTGTGTGTGTCCGGGGTAGTGGTTGGAAGGAAGAGAAAGCAATGAGCTGTTGCCCAAATTGCGCTGGGAGATGAGGACTTCAACCTCGTTAACAGAAGGAACGTGGGTTAGTAGCCTGGGATTAGTAGCATAGATTGCAATGTGGGGAGTGGTCCTTCTGTCCCTGCCGATTTGAGAGTCTGTCCAGAGGAAAATAGTTGAGCCCACTGAAAAGCTGGACTTTCTCATCTCCCTTCCATCAGAACCCACTTGGTAGACTGATTGGAATTTTATGTCTTTACTTGTCTTGTCCCTGTAAAAATATTAAAAATAAATAAACTAGCAGACGGTTCCCCTGGTATATCATCACTGTTCCCCTGGTATACCGTCACGTCTGGATAATTTCCTAACCGGGTAGTCCTTTCCCAGATAATGACTTAGGAGTAGATGGCAGAAGACTTTATTCTTGTGTTGGACACAGGATCTGCTACTCTGGTCAAGTGACTATTGTTAACAAAAGTGATGTTCCCCGCAGTAAATTTCAATGAGTGATTCACATGCAGCCTACGCACGGGAACATTCAGAGAGAGCTGCCGTGGACACTGAAACTAGAAAATAACCTGTACTCGATCATTTCCTGACACTGGCATGCTGAAATTTGGCAATTTGTCATATTGCATGCAAGCCTTAGGTTGATGTGAAACGTCTAAATAGGTAGAAAGTAATAGCGTGATCCTAGACATGCACTTGACCCATGTACCGACTTATTAGGCAGAACTAGTTACATGTTACACAATGCTTGGATCTGTATAGGACAACACATCACCAGGGTAGCCCCTGTTGTGCCCACTTCTTAGTTCCCTGGCATATTCCCGACCTTTTTATTCTTTTAGTTCAAGATAGTGTAGGTAAGGAAAAAAATTCTACTTATTGACATATAATTGGTTATATTCTTGTTTCTTTCTTCCAAAACAGAACTTACTCTTGACTTATTCAAGTTTATATTCTTAATATTGTCACTTTCCACTTTACAGATGAGGACATGAAGGTCTGAGGAGGTACAATAATATGCATATTCACAGAGCAAGTACGTGGTAGGATTGGAACTCAGGCCTCTCAGATGCCAAAACTATTTCCTCATGCTGTTAGGTCTGTAAGGAATAATTTTTTAAAGCTATGATAATAGTGAGAAGTCACCTTTCTAGAGGCAGTAAGATATTCCCAGGTGACCCTTTGGGCACACCGGTGAGCAGTGCTTGAGAGAAGGCACAAGGTGGCTGTGTACTTTTACTTTTCCAAGGGATCTTAGAAAAAGGCTTAGTTGCACCTTGGTAGTCAAAGAGTGGTTGAAAAGCAAACTAACTCGAAGCTCTTTGACCTCCATGGGAGGCCAAAAGCCTGGGAGAGTAGTAAACCTTCCAAGAAGCCAGAAAAAAAAAAAAATCTGCAATAATTGTAGGGAATGAATAAGTCTGAATTAGGTGTCTTTTACACTTCACCGTTCTGACACATGGGAACCATGCCAATTGGTAAGATCTGGGGAATCGTCAAAGAAACACATGGCCAGTGTGACAGGTCTCATGCTGAATGAGAAGTTTGACATTTTAAAGATCTACTAGCTCTGATTTATTTGTCAGAAGAGCAAGCCTGGGAATTGTTTACCGTGCTGTGAGTATGTGTGTATGTTTAATACTGGGAAAGGTATACATAGTTGTTTCCCTAAAAAGAAAAGGAAAAAAACCCAAAGGTCAAAGAAGGAACAGATTGGGCCCAAACTTTCTAAAAATAAACAAGTAAAGAGCACCATAGGAAAAAATGATCTCTGACTTGTAGCCATGCACGAAGTACTTATAAATAGAGATGCTGTAGCAGTTAACCAGTTAGTGCATACTATTTAACCAAATACATTCATAACCTGATGACCAATTATGATTTCTGAATACATTTCAATCTTTATATGATGACGTGTGATGATGTCTTGAAATCAAGACATATGAGAGTCCTGCTATGATTATTTCAGTAATATAACCACACTTTCAATATGTTAACTAAACTATTCACAAGAACAAGCCAGTGTGAAAGCAATGTGTTCTCAAAGGGTCTATCAGCTTTAAAAATGAATGCACCAGAAATGGAAGGTTGTTTTTCAATCTTTCCTTGTATTTAGGGTAATTGAAGTGATCTCAGATTTTTCTTTTGCCCAACTCTACTCAGTGTTCTTGCAATATTGGAAACAACTGATTAGTTGAAACTGGTTAGTTAAACTTACTGAGGGGGAAAAAAACCTTTAAATCCATCAAGCATCTCTGCTGACATAAGCTTATGTCTGCAAATTTTTTATTCTGGTCCCTGGGATGAATTTCATCATAGTAAAATCTTTTTTTTTTCTTTTTGATGATTCTGCTTGTAATTCTATTTTATGATTTCCCTTCATGATTTTATTAGCCACTTGTAACTTAAAAGTGCCGCAGCCGTGGCCTCTGTGCTTGGCAGAAGTTCACGCGCAGCCAACAGTTGGTTTAGCTGAAGGAAAATTCCCACTCGTCGGAATCAAGACTCCGCGACTTGATCCCTTTTTAGAACAAGCCTTTATAAAAAGAGCTCCGCTTTAAACAAAAATAAAAATAAACAAAGCGATTCTTCCTCTAAAGGCAAGGTAACTGAGAAAAACTGTGTTCTTCCAAAGCATTGACATTTGGGGGTAAATCTTCCTGAAGGTCAAAGCCCTTGGGGGTTAGAGGGAGATTGAATTTATAATTAGGATCTGGAATGATCTGCAGATTTCAATTAGGGCCAGTTCACTCCAGAATCCTGAGAAACCTACACACCCCTGGTGGGTGAGTTGGATGGACTTCTCAGTCTACTGGCCAAAATGACTACAAGAAATTTCGGGGAGGGAGTGGGACTCACAGCATCTTAGTTTTAAATTTGGAGTCTGGTAGTTGAGGAGCCCAATTCCCCAAGGGCTCACATTTGAGTCCAGTGCAAAAGGAGGCTACAGGAATATATTTAAAAGGCTTAAAAAAACAAAACAAAACAAAACAAAAAAACCTTAAGTCTTCATAAGGTGCTAGGGTTCAGAGCAACATCACTCCTGTCCTTGGGAAAGAGAGCAGTTAAGATGGAAAATGAGGCATTCTCCCCACTGCTGCACACACTGGGACTCAGAAGCAGAGGCCTTCCATGAGCACAGTGCTGCAGACACCTTCATGGACCCCAGACAATGGCTGTAGCAGAAATGGATTTGGTTCCTGGAAGATCAGGAAGCTCTTCTAAATCTCCTTCATTCAGCTCTTGTGGGAGGCTGCAGGACTCAGGAGCGACACCTAATGTCTCCTACAAATAGGCGAGACAGTCATGGAGGAAGTCCTCCAACTGCAGGAGCCGGTGAAGGCCCGGAGCATCTGTTATATTGATCTGAGTGTATTTAAAACCCCAGGCTTGGTTGCTGTGTTTATTCTGCCTTTAGAACCACAAGGACGTCTAGGACTGCCCTCTAGTGTCTGTGATCCTGTTCAAGTGTGGGATCTTTCCATGAATGATATAAGTCTTCCTTGTGAAAAATGATGTAGCCTGACAACAATTTTGATGATTCTTACAAATGGATTTCTAAAATATTTTTCATTAAAAACTTTCCAAATATTGAGTGGATC